TTTTTGCTTATGTGGTGCTGAGGAATCGAACCCAGGGCCTCATGCATGCAAGGCAAGCGCTCTACCACTGAGCCAACTTCCCAGCCCCCGGACCTAAACTCTTGATGACACTGTCTTTTTGAATCTCCTGCACCTTCAATTGTATCTCCTTGGAAGACACAACTTAGCCGATGAAGGGTTATTCTAGCAATGGCTATTTGTGGACTTGAGTGGCTGATCAACCCCATTGGAGTAAGAAGGGGTAAAATGACATTTGTGGAACTATTTCCTGGGGCCTGCAGAATTTCTGGAGACTCAATGCTTCCATGGAGTTGAGGAAGCCTTAGCAAAGCAGCCATAACACATTCAAGCCCAGAGAAGGTGCAGGTAATATCCTGCTTCATACTGTGCCCTTCAGGTCTGCTCTCACCAGTAGAAGGAGGATGGAACGTGGTACCAGAAGTTTCTTTTTTTAAAGTTTTTTCTCTTCTCGTTTTTTTTTTTTTTGTTGTTGTTGTTGAACTTAGGGCCTATGTGTTATTCCAGAACGTTTTCACTCAAGGCTAAGCTCTGCCACTTTGAGCCACAGCACCACTTCCGGTTTTCTGGTGGTTAACTAGAGATGAAAGTCTTATTAATGGATTTTTCTGCCTGAGCTGGCTTTGAATCGTGGGTCTCAGATCTCAGCCTCCTAAGTAGCTAGGATTACAAGGGTAAGCCATAGTTCCTTTTAAAAAATACATTCATGCTACCCTTTTACTTTCCTGCTCAACTCTAGCCCCCAACATGACTTGGTGGAATTTTCAGATAGAACATGGGCTGCTGAGTCAGAAAGTGCTCCTGAGTCACAAACAGCTCTTGCTGGTCACTAGCTGAGTGACGGGAGCTCCCCTCTAGTCTCAAGTTTCTCACCTATAAATGGGTTGTTATAAGGATTTCCCAAGGTGGTGGGTACAGGTAACAAGGTCAAGAATATGGTAGTCTAAGCACTCTGTAATTAATCTGTAGGTTACTCTTACAACTCTCCCAACCAGGTTGTTTTCAGACTCAGTGATGTCTGCCCTCTTTAGTTCATGAATTCTGTTATCAGGATCCTGGAATTTTCCCTGTGCTCCCCTGTGTTCCAGAGAACATTTTAAGGGTAAAGTAAGGTCTATGAAGTCATTTCTTCAGATTCCCATACAGACGTTATTTTGTTTCTCTACAATAATTTCCACCACGGTTTTGTATAGTCTCAGACCCACTTCTCTCTAAAGGAATAAACTTATATGTCAAGAGAATATGAAAAAATAAATAAAATAACAATGATCTCATTTATTGTCCTGCAGGTCTAATCTGTCTTGGGCTGGAAGTGGGGATGATGTATGGATAAGGTCAGTTGATTCATTTCTGAGGGTCAAGCCTTCTACTATTTTCATTTTTTTGGGACTTTGATGTATAAAAACATTGCAGGACACACACACACACACACACACACACACACACACACACACACACACACAGCATTCTTGAGCTACTAAAAGAGCCTTTTTCATAGCCAGAAGACATCATTAAAGAAAGAGAACCCAAGAGAGACCGATAAATAAAGAGGAAGAGGAGAGGATACCATCAAGTATTCAATGTATAGCCTACACGGTTAAACCTTAAAAATATGACACAGAGGGTTGGGAAGGTGGCTTAGCGGTAGAGCGCTTGCCTTGTACAAATGAGGCCCTGGGTTCGATCCCTCAGTACCACATACACAGAAAAAGCCAGAAGTGGCACTGTGGCTCAAGTGGTAAAGTGTTTGCCTTGAGCTGAAGAGCTGAGGGACAGCGCCCAAGCCCCCAAAAAAGAATTAAGCAAGGTTGGGAGGAATGGATGAGAATGTTGAAAGGAGTGAAATTGACCAAGATGCACAGGATGTACAAACTGTTTTGTTAAATGGCAACTCCTGTACAACTCCTAAAAGATAATAATAATAATTAATAATAATAAATATAAAGACCATCCAGGTCTACCTGGATACTAGGATGCCATAACTATGGTATCCACACAGAAGCATACACAAAGAAAACCCCACAATAGGGTGGGGAATGGGGGGGAGGGGGTAACAATGCTTGATAGGAAATACACTCATTACCTTACTCATGTAACTGTAACTCCTCTGTACAGTATCTTTAGAAAAAAAAACACATTAAAAAAAAGAGAGAGAGAAAAGCCCACAACAACATTCACACGTCTTCTCTCAGAGACCGCCAGCATGATAGATGATCATTCCCATCTCCTCTGACATGTGTGGCAGAGGTGGCTTGGGCAGACAGCATGCCTGCCAACACACGTGACCCTCCACCTCAAGAAAAAGTCACCCTCTTTGTCACTGTCACACAAGGAAGCATGAGGAGGCAGTTGGCTTTTGTTCCCTTGGGTTTTGTTTGTTTTAATAGTGATGTTGTTGGACCTTCCCACCGACCTCTTCAATAGCATGAGAGAGGGCCTGGTCCCATTGACTTCACTGTGGTCAGAAGGGGTGGTAGCAACGCCCTTTTGCCTTCTTTCTGCTTAACCCCTGACGGCTAAGCAGAAGGCCGGGCATCTTCAGATACACACTCCTACATTGTATAGTCTTCCCTACATAGTGCCCTCTGCTGGAAGGGAGCTGTGGTCCAGCTCGGGATGGAGGTGGGGACAGACAGACAGACAGACAGACACACACACACACACACACACACACACACACACCCCTGCCATCACTCACTGCAATCCTGGCTGTCTACAGTCCACTAGGTTCTAGAAAATGCAGCTCAGGCACAGCTTGCCCTTGGCCAGTCATCTCTGCTTCATCCCTGACAGTCTGTGTCACAGCTCTAGTGACAGCTGAGCAGTCTGGAACTCCTGACACTCTACCAGAAGAGTGAGCGAGCGAATGAGAGGGTGATGTTGTCATTCTCCCCAGTAAAAATAACAGTCTCCTTGAGTAACTACTGCAAGCCAGGTATGGTCTTCGTGGCGCCCTCACACCCCCTTTTAATTCGAGTAAAGCCTCGGGGAGTAGGAGCCATTCATAGCTCCATTTTGCAGATGTCAAAATTTGATCCCCCAGAAAATGGTGACACATAAGCCAGGTGCTGGTGGCTCACATCTATAATCCTAGCTATTCAGGAAGCTGAGATCTGAGGAGTGCGGTTCAAAGCCAGCCTGGGCAGGAAAGTCTGTGAGACTCTTTTCTCTAATTAAGCACCAAAAAGCTGGAAGTGGAGATGCGGCTCAAGTGGTAGAGTGCTAGCCTTGAGCAAAAGAGCTCAGCAACCGCATCCAGGCCCCAATTTCAAGCCCCATAACCAACAAAAAAATCAACAACAACAACAAAAACCCAGTGACACATCCAGGTTTCCCTCTGGTTAAGAAGGGGCTGGGGCTGGATCAGATCTCTTGATACCCACGAAAGAAGATGAGGGAGCCAAGAGCCAACGAATGGATGGCCTTTAAGGATTTCACCTTCTCTGTTGGCAACTTCAGGTTCTTTGTTTTTTCTTCCAGAAAAACCAAAGTCTCCAGATGACATGTCACAGGAGGATAGTCTATGTAGGCCAGCTGTGTAGTCCCCGTTCCCAGCAGACATCTCCCTGCGCCCCCAAGAAGCCCCCCAGAGGGGCGGCAAGGGCTGAGTCCTCTGAGTCAGTTGCAGGTACAGTCTACCCTGTGCAACCCAGGGACTGGACAGCTGGCCCCTCTTCTGTGCCTCTATCCCAAGGTCCCCTTCATTGGCTTTCTTCACCCCAGCCTGCTGAAGGACGTGCCCACGTGACACTGAAGAGAAGCAAATCATGCTCTAGCTGCTGGCAGAATGTTTGCCCCTGCTCCATCTTGGAGACAGAAAATGCCTAGTAGCCAGGCTGGGAGGTCCTACATGGGGATATTGTAATTCGCAGCTGAACTGCCCTGAATGATTCCCCCAGCAGCAGCCAGGTGTACCTGGGGGCAGGTGGCAGAATATAAATCGGGACAAAGGAGGGAACACAGACTTTGGATCAGAAGACTCGATGCAAAGCCCAGCTTCATCATGGATGCCCTCGTGCCTCAGTTTCCTCAGGTTAAAAATGAAGGCAACAATCTCATCAGCATGGCTTTGCTCTGAAGAGGAAAAGGTAAAACTCATGTGAAGTCCCTATGCAGGGTCCAATCCAGAGACCTGAGAATGGACCCAGGTTCACGTCGTAAGGGGAGGCTGCACACTCAGAGCTGGGTTCTACAAAGACTGTCCTGTGTGCTGTGTGGAGAAATGCTGCAGGGAGACAAAGTCAGGAGCCAACAGGCAGGAAGCTGGTACGACAGCTCTGGGCAGCTGGGGCCCTGCTTCTGGTGGCTCTGAGCACCCAGAGACCAGCTAAGCAGTGCTCCACGTCAGCCCATCGCAGATGCTGGTCATGAAGACAACTTGACAGTCTAGCTCTTATTCTTCTCATTCTGTAGGAGAGGAAGCTCAGGAAGGTCAAGGTCAAGTCTTACTGGCATTCTAAGGCCAGTTCCTCAAAGACACTGCTTCCTGATCTTGGACCCAGGGAGTTGCCATCACATGAATGACCCCAGAGGGGTAAAGGGTGTGTGAGAGGGGGGAAGGGAAGGATGGATGGAACAGGAGGAAGTCCTCTGCTGAGCTGAATTAATGCTGAGCTAGCCAGGATGCTTGGTAAATAATCATACTCTGTGGGAAGTGGAGTTGTGGCTTACGTGGTAGAGAGCTAGCCTTGAGCAAAAGAAGCTCAGGCTTAGTACCTAGGCCCGAGTTCAAGCCCCAGGACTAGCACACACACACAAGAAAACCCCAAACAAAAGAATCTTGCCAGGCATTGGTGGCTCATGTCTGTAATCCTAGCTACTTAGGAGACTTAGATCTGAGGATCATGGTGATTTGAAGCCAGCCTGAACAGAAAAGTCTGTGAGACTCTCCAATAAACTACTCAGAAAAAGCCAGAAGTGGCACTGTGGCTCAAGTGGTAGAGCTCAAGCCTTGAGTAAAAGAAGCCCAGGGGCAGTGCCCAGACTCTGAGTTCAAGCCCCAGGACTGGCACCAAAAAGAAAAGAAAAGAAAAGTAACAGTTGAGGGCAAGGAGCAGAGTGGGGGGTCTGAACCTCTATATGATGGGGCCGAGACCGGGCCAAAGCAAGCGGGGTTCCTTACAGCACTAGTTTCTAGATCTAGCTGGGCCACAGAGTAACTACTGGGGCTTGTGTGATTCTGCCCTGGTGGCCACAGCCACAACCTCCCAGTTGGGGGCTGGGAGGAACAGACACGCTGTCTGTTAACCATTCCATTCGGGAGGGCAATTGTCAACTTAGAAGCCTGGGGGACGGTGCTGTGCAAAAGATGGCACAATGAAGTGTACTCATGCTCTGATTCAACACGTGTTTTCTAGCCTCTCAGGGTCCAGGGCATCTGAAGCACTAGCTCTTGGGATTTCTCCCCATGCTCCATCTCTGAGGCTGACTATAGTTCTTCCCAGCATCTGCTGGTCCTGGGCGGAGCCATTTCAGAAGAGAACAGCCCCAAGGATCTTCCTTGGCATCCAGGCCTCCCACAGCCTTTAATCCCTCAGCTCATAGGAGCAGCACTGTCTTAAGTGTAGTGATATCTTGTAATAAATCTTCTGGGATGCTCCATCCCAGGGTCCTGATGCAGCAGTCACATCCCTCTGAAGAGACAGTTGAGCCGGACTGGCTCTTATGGAGATGCACAGCTGGGGGCCCTGCTCAGAATCTGGCTCAGGATCTGCCCTCCAAAACCCCAGGCGGAGTGGTTCTCCTCTGAAGCCTCGTGCTGCATACCAAGTCCTCTCAGCTTGACCCAGTAACACAAGCACTGTCCTCAGCCCTGCCAGGTAGGAGTCCATTTTCTCATCAGAGCATCCCTGTGGCCTAAGTCCTAGTCAGCCTGTAGATGTCAATGCAAATTGCTTAAGGTCACACAGCTAGCATGGCATGGAAGGGTTTCAAACTCAGGGAATCTGGCTCCAGGATCCGTGTGTGTGTGTGTGTGTGTGTGTGTGTGTGTGTGTGTGTTTCTCATTGTGGCAGGCTGAGTTTAGATTTTAGGGTGAGAGCAGAGCATCTCTTGTTCCATGTTTGTTCTAGGCCTGCTTTCCCTTCCACATGTTATATCTAGGTTTCCATCCTAAATTCTTGGGGCCTTTCAGGCTCAGAGTTCTTCATCACCGCTCCTATCACCATCACTAGCTCACATGGGAACTTCTCCTGACTCTGTGGGGTCCCATCGGGAGGCTGTGTTCTAGCCCTTTCCATCAGACAGGTTCAAGCATCCCTGGCTGTTTCCTCTCTAGTCCCCAATGTTCTTCCATGGGTTACGAAATAACAAGGAGCCCTAGACTCAACACCAACTGGAGCCCTGGGTTCATTTCTTTCTTTCTTTCTTTTTTTTTTTTAATTTAATTTTATTTTATTTGTGAACATACTGTACAGAGGGGTTACAATTACATGGGCAGGATAATGCATACATTTCTTACCAGGCTTTGTTGCTCCTCCTTTGTTTACCCTTCACATCCCTTCCCAGCCTCCCCCCTCCCTATCCCAATCCCAATCCTTCCCCTCCCCCTCCACCCCCGCACCGACGTTGTAAAGCTCGTTTTAGACATGACAACTTGTACTTCTCATTGTTGCAACAGGTCCACCTGTATCCTTCTTTCTTGTCGGTCGTGGGGCCTGAACTCTGGACCTGGGCACTGCCCCTCAGCTCTTCAGCTCAAGGCTAGCATTCTACCACTTAAGCCACAGTACCCTCTCTGGCTTTTTCTGCTTACATGGTGTTGAGGAATCAAACCCATGACCTTATGCATGCAAGGCAAGCACTCTACCACTGAGCCACCTTCCCAGCCCCAGAGCCCTGGGTTCTAAACACCATCTTGACCCTGGGGATGACAAGAGGTTGGAGCGAGGCCCCAGAGGAGGTTTGGTAGCATTGTGCAGTGGATAGGAAACCCAGGGCAAGGGACAAGCACTGTAAGTCCAGGTACAGAGGAGAAACTAGAGCCCCACATTGCTAAGCCACAGTGCTGCCCAGGAGGGAGGGCATAAAGTCCTTGTTCCCAGAGGAGGGGCTGAGAGTGACCGAAGAGTGACCCTGCACTGGGCATCAGCATGATGAGCCCTGAGAACCCAAGCCATTCGCCCTTAACCTGACCTGACCACCACTGCGGGGTGGGGAGTGTGGGGAGAAAACAGCTGCTGTGGACCACAAACCACTTACAAAAACCCCACCCTGGGCAGAGCCATCCACCCACCTTCCCAGGAGGAAATACAGTAAGACAGGGCTCAGGCACATAGACAGTGAGGCTCAGTATCTACCAGCCATTGGTTTCCCCTCCAAATGTTGCTCATCTTACAATGCATTTATATCCTAACAAATCCATGGTAAACTGAAAATGCACCTAACCAAGTGAGTATGGGTTCAGGCTGGCCTGCCTTCAACGTGCTCAGAATGCACGTGCTAGCATTCACTGTAGGACACCGGTGAGGTCTCACCTTAGGATGGCAGAGCTGACGGACATTCCGACTGCGGCCACTGCCCAGCATCCCATCACACACCGCTAGCTAGGAAAAGATCCAAGCAAAATCCAAACAAAATCTGAAGTATCGTTTCTAGCAGGTACATATTGCCAGCACACCGGCCAAGGTGGAGCACTGGAAGTTGAACTCCTATAATTTAGGGACCATCAGTAGAAATACTTCTCCAATCCTTCTTTCTTCCCCTTGACCTGGGGAGTCCCTGCGTCTGTGCCTGTTGCTATGGGAAATGAAACCCAGACTCCTTTCCTGGGTGATCTGGTTTATCTAGAGGATCCCTTAAAGGACTCCCAAGTCTCACGATCTTTCCCTGATCCCTAACACCTTAGTTGTGAGACTCTGGGGTGGTTCTCACGATCTTTCCCCTATCCCTAACACATTAGTTATGAAACTCTGCAATAGTTACCTAACTTCTCTAGCCCTTAATTTCCCCCTCTGTAAAATGGGGGTAACAACGCCCTTCATAGAGAATCCTTTGATAATGTACATAACATACAATATTTAACTGTTTAAGTTAACACCTGACTCAAAGCTTCATGAAGTAGCTATTATTATAATGTGCACTGAAAACACGCAGTGCCAACTGTGTGCTTAGGGCCTGTCTATCATGCCATTCAGCTGTGTATTATTTATGAAATGCCCCTTCACGCCCGGCATGCTCAATACTTCGCAGCTGTTCTCTCTGACAAGGACAACTGTTCGAAGGTGCCAGGGATACCAGTGGGAATAGGCCGTCCACATTTCACCCTCTTTCTCCTGTCATTCCCCCAATTAGACCGAGAGCTCCTGTCACCCAGCTGACTGCTGAGGCGTCAGGCTGGCTCCGGCTTCCCAGATGGCTTAGTGCTTTCTCTGTACGCAGTGGGTTTCTTCTGTCTGCTGGCCACCGTCCCAAGTAGTACAGATAGCCCCTCCCAGATGAAGCTGGGCCAGTTTGAGCCAGCCAGGCACTGGACAGGTGCCACCAGACCAGGGGCAGTTACTCTTATCTTTAATTAGCAGTCATAATAAGCGACAAGGCCCAGGGGTGACCCCGCAGATGGCAAGCCACTCTGCTCTGAGTGATAAATTGGGAGTATTTGAGTCTGCGAATGGCAGTATTCACACTGGGCTAATGTGGCTGCCCGCCCTACACCTGCTGTTGGGCCTTACTGCATGGGGAGGTGGGGAGTGAGTGGCTAGGCTAGCCCAGGATAAAAGATGCTAGGCAAGCGTGTGGTGAAGAGGACAGGCCCCTGGCTTTCTCACCCCATGATTTGGAAAGGAGGCACTCAACTACAATCGAGCCCCAGTAGTGGGAAAAGTCTTGTGAAGAAGTAGCAGTTATAACCACCATAAAGCTGTTGGGTTTATAGACTTGAACAGTGTGAGGAAGGGTGGCTCAAGCCTGGACTCCTAGCGACTTGGGAGTCAGGGATCCAGGGATACCAAGTTGAGGTTTGCCCGAGTATAGAAGTTCTTGAGACTCCACCTCAATCGATGTCTGGACATGGTGTATGTGCCTGCCTTCCCAGCTCCAGGGTAAGCACAATGGTTGGGTGCATGCCAGATACCCCTAGCAACATAGAGAGGATTGTAGCCGAGGTTGGCCTAGCATTAAAGTGCTAGAGATGTGGTTCAAGTGGTAGGGCATGTGCCCAGAAAGCTCAAGTCCTGAGTTCAATCCTTAGTACTACCAAAAAGTATAATGAATGAATGAATGAATAAGAATTGAAGAAGGACAACAACTTCTTCATATTTTTATCACTCTATTGTTAAGGTCTTGAGGGTTTTTGGCATTGCTGACTGTGCTTGACGCGACCCAGGCTGTTCTACTTAATCCTCACACAATCTGTGGGTGTTGCTGCAATCCTGGGAATGAGTAAACCAAGTCCCAGAATGGTCAGATGACGTGTTTGAGGTCAACTACCTACCTTTGGGCAAAGCCAGGATTTGAACCAAGACTGCCTGGTATCTCATTAGCACTAAGCCTCCTCGGTGCATCGTCAATATAGCCCCTCTTACCTTCCTTCCTGTTCTACTTTGGGGAGCCAGCTACCCACAGGAAGTCCACACTCTGCTCCCATGATCCTTTGGACTCCGGCTGTAGGTGAGGCCTGCCGCTGTCAGGAGCTGCCTGTGGCTGGGACTGGCTGAGTGGTGGTAAGAATGTGCTGTCCTTTGGGCTTCTGGGATCCATCTCTCTATGAACAGCAAACATGCTACTTATCAGATCTGTGCAATCCCCCACCACAACCGTCTTTCATGGAGGAGGAAGCTGAGACAGGGATGGTAGATGTCAGCCTTCAATGTCAGGAAGCCCTGCTACTATCTGCTGGACCCCACTTTTTTTTTGCAAGGGGGTGGGGGGGGGAGTCGGTCATGGGGCTTGATCTCAGGGCCTGAGTGCTATCCAGGCTACCACAACTCCACTTCTGGTTTTCTGGTGGTTCATTGGAGATAAGAATCTCATGGACTTCCTGCCAGGCTGGCTTTGAACCGGGATCCTCAGTTAGTATTACAGCCCTCTGCTGGACCCCATTTTAGCAGTGGCACAGGGCAGGACAACAGAAAGTACCTGGCGGATGAGTGGCTGTTATCATTAACTGCTAGAAATCACAGGTTTGAGGCCTAGAAAATTGTTGGTACAGTAAACACAGTATTCATGTTACTTCTTAAGAACAACAGAATCGACCCCCACCTCCACCCCAACCCCTGCCTTCTACCAAGGCCCTTTACATCAAAACGGATGATGGTATTTATTGAATTACTATTCTTCCCCACATTGGAACCTAAGGTCCACAGATCAGGATGCTAGATGCTTGGCTTAAATAAAACAGTGCCCAATACAGACCACGTGCTCCATGAAGACCCTTCTAGATAAAAATGAGACCCCTGCTTCATTTCCAGCAGGTAGGAAATGCCCTCAGCTTAAGATCTGCAATTTTGGGGGCTGGGGACATCCACACCTAGCCTTGTCCAGGGGGAACTTGGAAGTGGCCTTGTTTTCTTCAAAGTCTCCCAATTGTAGCCAGCCTCTTCCCACAGTGTCTTACACACTCAGTCCCTTGCTGCCTCCTGTCCTCTTACCCACCACGGTCCCTTTCCCACAAGTCAGAGTCCCTTTAAACTTTCAGTCATGAGATTCCTGACTCCCCCCCCCCTTTTTTCCTGATTAATACAATGCCAACCCTGGCACCAGTGGCTCACCCTAGCTCCACAGGAGGCTGAGATCTGAGGATTGCAGTTCCAAAACCAGCCTGGGCAGACAGATTCAAGAATCTCCTATCTCCAATCAGCCAGCACAAAGCTAGGCGTGGAAGAGGGGCTCCAACGGTAGAGTACTAGCCTTGAGCAGAAAAAGCTGCAAGGCCCTGAGTTCAAGCCCCAATACTGGCACATGCAAACAACTAAAAACAACCATGCAGATCCCTGTTGCTGAGACTTATGTCTGGGACCTTCTGCTCTCAGTACAGCAGGCTTCAGCTCCTGTGGGCAGGGCTGCTGGACTCTGATCAAGGGCCCAGGAGTGGACTTTGTGTCTTGCTGATGAAAAGCATGAAGGAGTTTCAGAAAACCCAAGAATCTAGCAGGTCAGGGCGAGGAGGAGGGGTCTCTGCAGGTACCCCACCTGCATGTCGTCTACTCCGGGGTCTCTGCCTTGGATCCCGTCTGGAGCGATGTGTCAGTAGCTACGTGGAGCCCTTAGAAGCCAGCCATACCTCTGCTTTGTGTTTCCCAGTGAGCGGTGAAGTGGCTCCAGAGGGAACAGCCAAAGGAAACAGCCTCCATCAACAAAAAGAGGGGCAGCCTTTGATGAGGGGCGGGCCTTTCCCTCAGTCTCTTTGTGAGCGGGAAAAGCAGGAGAATATGGTTCACCATGTCCCGGCCCTGGTTGCTCTGGAGTTCTGAGAGGGTCAAGATTAAGTTGGGTCTTCTGTCTGGGTGCAGGATGTGTACCTGCATATATGAATGCATGCGTACAAGCATATGCAAGTGTGAGCATGAGCATGCATGCACACATCTCAATGCACACATGTGTCTGAGTACTTATGTGCCCACAGATGTGCATGGGTATATCCTTGTGTGTGTGTATGTGTGTGTGTGCACGTGTCTGTGTGTTTTGGAGCTAGGATTTAAATAGCATCCAGGACTTTGCTAAGCAGGTCGGACGGTAGCTTCTGCTTAGAGACAGTCACTGGAATTCATTTCATGTAACTATTACCAAGTGTTGTGGTTGGCCTTGAGGACAAGGGGGAGGGGGGGTGGGAGAGATAGGCCCATGTGGGCCGGAGGAACTTCCTGTAGGTTGTCTGTGCTCTGCCAGGCCAGGCCTGCTTTGGGCACAGCCTACCCACTGGGAGCTCTGGTGTGAGCTGGGTATGACCATCGGCCCGTGGCCAGCACACACAGCGGTAGCAAAATACAAAAGCCGGCTCTGTTGTGGTCCTTGCTGAGACCAGGTTGCCATCTGTGGAGATGGGTTCCAAGCCCCTCCAGTGCTTTCTGCACCCCCCTTCTGCCAGTGGCAAGCCAGGCTCTGCTATGGAAGGATTGCAGTTGGCTATGTCATGAAACTAAGCCCAGAAACAGCATCCTGTTACTGAGTGTATAGCAGCCAGGCTGGGGCAGGTCTCAAGGCGCCACATGGACAAACTGGTTTGCATCCTTTGCAGCAATGTCAGGTAGACACTGAGGGGCACTGTCCCTTTTCAGAACCCTCTGGGCCAGAGGCATTCTTGGAACTTCACAGAGACAGTAGATTCACTGTGTATTATGTAATGACTGCAAGGGATCCAAGATGGAGCTATAACAAAGTGCCTAAAGGCTTTTTGTTGTTCTTGTTGTTGTTCAGTACTAGCGTTTGAACTCTGGGCTTTTCTGCTTGCTGCGTAAGCACTCTACAATGAAAGCTATGTCTCTAGTCCTTTTGGGCTGGGTGTTTAGATACGGTCTTGCATGTTTTCCTTGGGCTGATCTAAATCTTGATTCATCCTATGGCTGTGATTACAGAGAGGAACTTCCACTCCCATTTAAAAAAAGTTTCAACTAGGGTCTCACTATTCCCCTCCTCATCCCCTCACCCCCTCGCCCCCTAGCTTGCTCTGGATCACAATACTTCTGATTCTAGGCATGGGCCATCATGTCCGATGATGAGCCTTACGTTCTTTCAACTTAGTTTAGCTGCCAAATGCATTTGTGCTGAACATAGGTAGAGGGGTGGCGGGGATGCCTTCTGTTTTCCAGAGGCTTCTGGGTTTTGAAGTTGCAGAGTGGGTAGTGGGATGGGGGATGTGAACCGAGTCAGGGGTAGCTCCTGGGTTCACAGGCAGGCAGAGTGACTTCCAGCCCCACCTCACCTCTCAGACTTATGGCTTTACACACACACCCAGGCTTTGCCATAGGAACCAATCACAAGGTCTGGGAGCAAGCCAGGCTGGTTGTTCCTATTTGCATTCCCAAATTCTGTATCTACTGCCTTGAATGCCACCATTTCTCTCTGCCAGACAATTTCTATTCATTCTTTGAAGGCCCTTTCCTCTGTGATTCATATGTAATCCTGATTACCCTGGGTTCTCTCACAGTTGTGGGGCTTGATCTCTGGGCCTGGGCGCTGTCCCTCAGCTCAAGGCAAGCGCTCTACCACTTGAGCCACAGCACCACTTCTGTTTTTTCTGGTGGTTCATTGGAGATTAAGAGTCTCACAGCCTTTCCTGCTTTGAACCACAATCCTCAGATTGCAGCCTCTTGAGTAGCTAGGATTACAGGCATGAGCCACCAGTGCCCAGCTTGCTGCACAACTTCTTGTTCAACAATCCCAGGGCACTTTCCAATGTGTGCTTAATCTAGGCTCTGCATGCTCTTTGCTTTCCAAAACAAAAATTGCCACTGACTCCAAATGCCACTCTCTGCAAAAGTCCAAGGACGCCCTCCCTGTCCCCCCCCCCCAGTCACACATCCACCTGTGGTCATGGTGGCTTGCAGGTTCCTCGTGCTCTGGGCTCTCTTTCACACATCAACCCTTCCCAATGCCACCAAAAAACCCTCTCCCAGCAGGTGCCTACAAGGTGACGGACATCTGTGGTCAGGGTGGGTGGCCCTGAGGGGACGTTCACACTATGGGAACACCACCTGCCTCCAGCTGAAGCGGGGGTTCTGAGCTCACATGTGCAGCCTTCTATACCAGCACTTGGGTCTCCCACCTTCTCCCCAGCTGGTCTTCCCTGTCTGCCTTGTCCACCTCTCAAGTTCAAGCCCACTTCTTCCTCCCTCCGTGCTGTCTCCCCAGAGCCCCTTTCCACCCTGTCCTGGCCCACCCCCTGGTGTCAGGCTCCCCTCTTCCACCATGAGCAGAGCCTCCTGTCTCCCCCGACCCCGCAGCAGGCAGCGTCCTGGAGGGAGAGGGGGAGAGGGTACTGCAGGCAGCCGTGCACATGCGCACTGCGCTGCTGCTGCTGGCTCTTCGTGGTGCCCGACTTCCCCAAGCCTTCCTGTTTGGCTCAGCTGTGGCTTCAGTGTTTAGAACAAAGCTAGACACACAGTAGGGCTTCTGGAAGCAATCATGGGAAGAGTGACTTCAAGGGAAATGAAGCATTTTGAGGAACAACAGCAAGCACAGAGCTAGATCTCATAGGAGAGAGCATGCAAGACAGTGGTGTGTGTGATCCCGTGATTGGGTGGGGAGGGGAGATTGAGGGCTGGATCGGAGACTATGTGAAGGTAGGAAGAGACCTGACAGTGGGTGCATGAGGTCAGGTGTACACACAGCCAGAGGCCTGAGGGCTGAGCAAAGCAGCAGCCTTGTGATCGAGCACCGCCAGCGGAGGGCTTGACGCCAGGATAAAGGCCTCGGCTATGGATCTCCCTCCCTGGTATCACCAGAAAGGAGGAGGGAGGTCTTGCCCTCCTTCCTCACCCCTCCATCCTCATACCCAAACTCTTTGGAACGACACCATGGCATTTAGTCATGGGGCTTGAACTCTGGACCTGGGCGCTGTCCCTTA